TCCGGTGCAGCCAATGTCGACGGACATCCTCCACTTCTCAGCGACCTCCTTGCCGAACCATCGGCCTCTCCTCCTCTTGCCAGCCGCATGCCCTGAGTGGCCTCCGTAGTCTGGCCCTGGTTTCGGGCGACCTGCACAGGGACCGCGGAGACGCTTGCGGGGAGCCATGTCCATCCATTTCCCGCAACACCGGGCAATTCGAGCCGAGCCGGCTGCCTCTGTGCGGCGTGTAGTCTAGTCCGTAGCGCGGAGTAGTTTCGGACGCCTGAGTCCTGCAGGCGGAAAATAGGTGCGGGGAAATTTTTTTTGCGAAATGTTGCAAGTTCTGCAAGAGTTGCTTGCGAATCGCGCACCTGGCCCGGATGGGCTGACACATGAATCTTTTCGTGTTGACGATGATATCCTTCATGCAGCTTTGTTGTTCACTCCTTGGCGATCGGTGTGTGTGCCAAGCTGCCTGGTTTTTCGTCGCCAGCCTGCCGTCCTTGCCCCTCACTGGCACGGTTGGCGAGATACCGGGCTCGTGAGCCCGGTGTCGCGGGATGACACGGCGCGCCCGGAGACGGAGCGAGTACCCGGCTTGGCAGCGGCCGATGCAGCAAGGCGGAAGCAGCGAGAGACTTACCCGCAGCTTCTCGCCGCTCGCCGCTGCAAGTTGAAGTTGGGCGGCGGATTGAGGCGGAAACTGTCACGTTCCTGCGCCTACTCGCCGCGGCTCCGATGCTGCGGGGCCTGGCCGGTTGCCGCTGCGCTATACGTTCGCCGAAAGTAGCGTGGGTAGACAAACCCCATGCAGGCGGAAAAGACCCAGGTAAACGGACTGTTTACATCGTGCTGTGTGGACGAAGTGCCATAGCCATCCGTCTAGGGATGCTGACAAGAGCATAACGGCCACGAGGGGATGGTGCAAGCGCCAGCAAGATGTCACACCTGAGCAGGCTGCCTGCGGTGCGGTTGTGTCGCTTTCGTTGTTGCCTCGCATGCCGCAACAGGGCTGGTTCTGTCCCGGCGGCGCTTTCCTGCCGCGTCGCCGCCAAGCTGTCGACCCGCACGCTCCAAGCAGTGCTGCTCGCAGGGGCTAGTCCCCGACCCGCCGCCGGTTCTCCCCGCTCATGATTGCAACGTTTGCGGGTTGGCAAGCGGTGTCAGTATTCTTCGCATAGCCGTCGTGGAATTCTGATTTGCTGGGCTGGCTTTGTTGCTGGTGTCGTGCCATTACAAGTTGCCCGCCAAAGTAGTAACGGCAGGCCATTTTTATGGCCGAACCAACATCGACTCGGTGGAATGGCCCAGCGGAACTTATCCCCAGGGGTGCGCACCGAAAGCGCTTGTTTGAGGATTTTGGCCAGAGCTGAATGCAGGAGCAACAAGTGAACATGTCGTCTGATGTCTCATGTCTAGCAGTCTAGCATGGGATGTGTGTTTTCTTTGCGCACCTTTTTGGTTTTGGGAGTTGCACAGGACACTTGGTCCACATCATTCAACCCTCGTGCCGCGGTCGTGTTGCGCTTGGCTGACCGAGCTGTCAAAAACGGGTCCTTCTCAGCTTCGCTTTCCAGTAGCATTGTCCGGCAGTCATGTGTGGCGGGAGGTGTCCGGTTAGTGAACGATGGATTGATGGACTGATGTCGAGGGGTTGCATTCATCGACTTCCACAGCAACCTTGCGGTCGCAATTTTCTTCCACCAAAGCGCATCGCAAACGACCGCTTCTGCCACAGCCCCGGAAGTCCCAGAAGGGTTGCGTGTAGCAATAGGCCTTCCGGCTTCATGTTGAGTGCGCATGTTGCAGGCCAGGACTGCCAGCACAAGTTCGCGAGCTTCGGGACCGCGCGTTAATCCGTTGCGGTTACTCGCTTAAGCTCAGTTTTGCTTGCAGCATGTACGCACGGTCTGTGGTGAAGAGGATGCTTACAGCACTGTGGACAACCATGTTGCCGAGAGCCTTGAGCGTGAGTTGAAAGTCTTAGCTTGGCACCGAGATGTGCAGAATCAGATCGAATCCAAAGTCACGGGCGCCTGCCCAGCACATCCGTTGCCTAGGTTTCAGAAAATGAAGGCATAGCAGCCGAGAGCTGAGATGTTTTTCGATGGGTGGGTCCGAAAGAGACATTTAGAGCAAGCTCAGGTTGAAGAAGCCAAGGGTATGTATGCTATCGTGGAGCATTGTCACAGTTGTCGGATCCATCATGGTCTGTCAACCCGCCTTGGCCTTAGCTTTGCACGTTGTCTTCAATTGTACACAAGGGCTTTCAGTGCATCTTGTCGGTCAGGACATGACGAAGAAGAATATTTAAAGCGAGCTACATCGATCCTTGAGCCGAGCTCTTGCCGCGACGCGTGTTTGCACCACTCGGCAAGGCTGAATGATTGTACTGTTTGAGGCAAATCTTGCAAGACTTATCCGACGTTGTTCTGGGTAGCATGAAGCTTCCGTGCAAGCTGGAGGCAAGCCTTTGATACAGAAAGAGCTTGCATCGAGAACCGGAATGCCGTCCGTGATTGAGAGGTGGAGCCTCGCTGCCTGTCCAATTCCTACGTTCTCGGCCGAGTCATTTCCAGCTTTGTTTGGTTCTACTGCTCTTTTCATTGACTGATGTGTTGAGAGGAGCTCGGCCAAGACATTTGGCATCATGGTTCCCGTGTAGGCGCATTCGAGGCGGGACAACAGATGGGCTAGTCAGCTAGTCTATTCGTCTAATTTTCCGAATTGGTGGCCAGGTATACCTATTGGTTCCGCCAGTCGGGCTCAAGCTGCCGAAGCCTTGTTCGCATGTTGGCACTTCGAACCGAGGGAGTTTCTGCAAAAGTCGTCGGCAGCGAAACATATCTACTGACAGGTCTCGTGAACGACTTCGATTTCCAGGCGGTTGCATTTTTCAAAGTTCCTGCGCGGCTTGTCTCAGATGTTGTGCGGAATCGTGCAGCCGTGCGTATGTTGAGGCGATGTCGTCACTCCAGAATGCATGGAACCCGGAAAGCAGGGAAACGCTTTGGCATGTTGATTTCTGCGTTTGTGCACGTTGCGGGAGTGTTTTCTTGCTAAGGGAGCTCAACATGTGGAGTGCAAAGCTCAGTTTGTTGTCTGGTAGGAGCTGCTTACGAGGGCTCTCCGTTCCTGTCTGAATGCAAGCAGTAGATACCTGGACAAGCAGCGAACGACCCCTTTAATAACACTTCCCGGCGACCGACATACCAATGACAGCGCTGTGTGTTTTGGGTTCTGGTTGACAATGGCCAAAGCGGCGGCCACAGGCTTGAAACTAACAAATTGCTTCGCAGATGCATGTTGCTTGCTTGTCAAGCAAGCAGGCGACGTTGGAGCTACCTTGTGGGTACAGTGTTGTGCTCGACGCTTATTTATGCTTATTTCACCTTGCCGAAATGTCGGCTTCCTGGCTGGTTCGTTATGAGCAGGTTGTTGCACTCGAAGTTGGCTTCCAATTCTTGGCTGGCACCTTGGGCACCCCAGCATAAGAGCCTTGACACTGGATTGTTGGACAACGAAAGCCTCGGATGGAGCCAGGTTAACTCAAGACATTCTTCCCAGAAGATTAGCGGAATTGCGTGGGCCTGTCAAAATCTGCCTTTGCTGGTTCCATCGTCCAGCCCTGGTGTGCTACCAAGGGTGCCGCGCGGCATTGTGGAAATAAAGGCGCAGAAGTCAATTACCTTGTCATGATCTTCGCTTCAGGCAGCTCCGTTGCAGCACACAGGTGGTCCTGGCTGGTGGTCAGCTGTTACCAGACTTTGATATTGAAATCAGCCGAATTCTCAGCTTCTGGCAACTTCAAGTTAGATTCATTGTTGGATGGTGTTGCATGTCCAGGCTTCAGACCTCCTCCGAACAGGTTCGCGGCAGTGTCGTTTTTGCGGACTTCTGTTCCCACGTCCTGCAAAAAGACGTTCTGATTAATTTAGACAAAGCTCGGAACTGAAGTAAGTTAGATGATGTGGCAACACAGGTGTCTTCGATCCTTCATTTTGTTGTAAGCGCAGATGTTGCACAGTGGAGCGGGTGGTCAATGTCGCATGTGGCAGGAATTTCGACAGTCGTGCAGGAGAAACTGTGGTTGGCTCGGAAGGGCTCTCCATTTGGGAAATGTATTTGCGAGGCTTGTGCTGAAGCCCAGGTGATGCACTTCTGCGCACAGGATGGCCTTTGCCAAGTTGAAGGTGTCCCGACCTTGGTCCCAGCCGGTTTCCAGCATGCAAAAGTGGTTCTTGTCCGTCTGAAACAACCACCTGCGGTTCCCACCTTGTGAATCGAGTTCTGATGTTGTGCCAACTCCAGGTGCCATTAAAGGCAGAGATGCACATCACTGTGAAGCACCCGGTGATGGAAACTCAGGCTAGCACTTCGTTTGTATGGCAGCCCATGGGAGTTGCGGAATACTTGGCAGGACCTGAGGCTAGTCCTTACACGCCGTACCGCTCGGATTGTTCTCGCCGGCGACGCTGCCATACACTTGGCAGCTGTGTGCAACAGATTTTGCCAGAGCCGGCGGCGAGATTGATTTGGAATCAAGGTCGTTCGCCTCTGGTGCATAGATCGACCTGGCGGCACTGCCGCAGTGGGCTCAGTTACTAGTAGTGGCGTAGGACCGGCTCAGCAGCAGGCTCTGATGGCAAGTGCAGAACAGGTCGTCATGGCCGACTACGTCCAACAGAACAATGGCGTACCCTCGTCAGCGCGCCCCTTGCGTGGGCAGGCTAGCACGAGAGCCGATTCACCGCCCTTGGACGCAGAACGAGCTCAAGTCAGCTTCTGGCCAGGTGGAGCAGGCAAGCGGAGAGAGCGTTCAAATTGATGGCCGCCACCCTTGCTGCGGCAGCTGCGGTGTCGCCAGTGCTCGAGCACTGTCATCTCAAAAGTATAGTGCTCAGGGGTCTTCCGGCTGCCCTGGCGTGGGGCGATGCATCAATTCGAGGGCGTCCAGGCGGCGACATTCGCGACCCACAGTTGTGCTCTTGATCACGTCTGTCTGCTAGATTTTTTTTGGGCTCTGCTGGTTTCACAGGCTGAAGTTTAGATTCTGCAGTGGCATAATGGGCTTGCGGGTTGGAGCCTTGAGGCTTTGAGGTTAGGGCAGGGCCATGCAGACTTTGGACCTCCGCAGGTTTCAGCACCTGCACCAGCACTAAATTCAAGCGTGTAGATGACCGACGCAGGGCACAGAATTCACACATGCAGCCACTGAACGCTTCAGAACCTACCTGAGTACTCGCCACTGGCCTCCGCAGCTTCCGAATATACGGCTTTGTTGAGTGCTCGGATCAAGTAAATGGAAACAATCTTCCCCGCCTTGCCGAATTCCAAAATGGGTCAATCTGTCGAAGAGGTGGAGGGGGGGCCAAGCTGGGTGTCAGAACACGTGGCTGTGACCGGCACGTGCGACACACGCCAGAACACAAATACCGTGTGGCAAAGGAATTCTGAAGAATGCCAGTCCGAGAAATTGCTCTGTTGTTGCCTGCATGCTCAGTCGTGTGCAGGTGCTACCAGTGGATGGGCACGACCCTGAGCCAGAAAGTTTATCCGCCGCCGATTTCTGAGACTTCGAAGCATTCAGGAGAAATCCGAAGGACCGGAGCACACGCTTTGTCAACTTGCCCCGTGCATGTCGTTGAGTAATGTCGATGTCGATTTTGCTCGGAGGCCTCGCTGATTTTTGGTCACGATGTGACCAATGCGTTGTGCTGTCTGATTCCGTCATCTGGAATGGTGAGGTACAGGGCAGAGCTGCAATGTGCAAATGGGGAGCTTCCGAACCTGCAGGAGTTGGATGCCAGTGAAGCCTGCGCAGCCCGAGGAGGCTCGATATCGGGACAAATTTAATGCGTTCGCAAGTTCAGGCCATCACTTTAGGTCTGCTGTGAGAGGTGTTGATTTCAAAGCCCTGTGGTGTGATCCTCGCGGCCCTTCGTGATGTCATCCTCAAAATGGAGACGAACTTCCAAGACACGGAAGGCTCACAAAAAGCGGAGGACCATTTCGCACGCGACAGCACAGTCGAGCAAGGTGCAGGCGTCTCTGACCCGGGAGAGCCAGAGCCAGAGCAAGAGATGGATCCTACAGGCCAGGGTCCAGCGGACCCGGCGCAACACCGTGTTAATGATGTCTTGAGGCGAGGGTTTGTACAGGTGACGGTGAACGCTTCGCGCAGCTGCTGGAGCAGGGAGCTGGCCTTGTCAGCACCTTTATCAGAACAGCGAGTCAGATCTGGAAGGCCGGGAGGTACTGTAGCCAGCGGCAAATGAATTGAAGACAGACCGTGACATGGGGGGAACATATTTGGAGGTTGACCTCTCCGAACAGACACGGTTTGAGGCTGGGCTGGCGTGGAAGTGGGCGTCTCGCAGAGTCTCGCCGCTTGTTTTTTGTTGGATCAGGCCGAAGATGTCAAAGTTTTGGCTGCTGCCATGGATGACCCGTGTTATGAGGCGATCGTCCAGCTCTTAACACTCGGGAGAATGTCAGGGCTCAGCAAGAGTCTGTCTTAGCCTAGAGCACAACTCAAGGTCAGAATCAGCGAGTCGGTGTCTGGTTCCCTGCCGACACATCAGCTCTCCCAGGAGTGAGGTCCTCAAGGTCCACCGTCCAGACGTCCAGCCACATCCCGCAGACCCATGTCGAGGCTTCGCCAGTCAGAGGCGACGAATGCACGGGAGGCACTGGCCAAGGCGGGGTGGAACATGAGACGGACAGTGCTGCCGAGGACTCTGTCTGGCTAAATTGTTGTGGCAGTCTGTTGCCGCCGCATACATCGGAGCTGCAAGAATGAAGCTGCAGTCTCAGTCCTGCTCAGTGTAGAATAGTATGGCTCTGCCTCTGTGTATATATATATATATACACAATACACATTTGTGCATATACATGATATGTATATATATATATATATATGTACGTATATGACTGTATATGTATGTGTGTATGCACAGGAAAGAGGCAAATGTCTGCTGGCCACCGAGGCCATGGTTTGAGACATTCTGTCGGCAGGTGGCCAGCATCCGAGCTATTCCAGGTCTACGCGCCCGTCCTAGTCTTCGGTGCTTGTGCTTTGCAGGTTGGTGCCACTAGTGCCGAGGTTGATGAGGCACTGGAAAGCTGTGGTCAAGGGAGTCAAGGGCTGATAGCCAGAAGCTGTCAAGGCCGGACTGGTCGGTGCATGTGGGTCCACTCGCATGCTGCAAAAGATGGCCTTGTTCCCCGAGTGTGCATCTTACTGTGTGACTTTTGCAAGACGGCATTCTGACGTGAAGGGTTCATTCGTTCCGAGGTTGAGCCCTGGCAGTGGGATATTGTCGTGCTGTGTCAGGTGCCAAAGCATGGAGGACAGAAGCAATGCTTTAAAATTATGCCATATTGTGGAGCTAGAGCTCGTTGACAGGAAGTGGAAAAGGTAGTCACCACCATCTGCGAGAAGCTGCAGGGTCGCGCGGACAGCGGGGTGTCTTCGATCGTCGCCCATTTTCTGGACGAGGCCTCCTTTACAACTGCTGCAAATGTCCGCTCACTGGCGCGGTCGAATGTGTGAAAGGATGGCCAGATCCGCTCAGACTCCGAGCTGTCCGATGTCGGCTCGGTGGTCGTACAGGTTGCCTGGAGAGGGAGGCCATCAGATCCTTTATCACTGGCCGAGGTCCGGGGCCAGTTTGTTTCAAGCAGCGACTGCCCGTGGTGTCAGTGCGCAAGGTGCGTGTGGTGAACGTGATTCTGCAGAAGTCACTCAGCTTGACGGTGTTCTTTCCATGTTTGCCAGCAAGGTGGAAAATCCTGCCGGATCTTGTCTTTGTGCCACCCGAGCCAGGCAAACATTGCAAACAACTATTTGGTGGAGCTGCAAGACCGTTTTGGGGAAAATGGCATTGGGAACTCGGGCGATTTCCCTGACGTTCTGCCGGTTGCAGCTATGCGTCGCCGTCCGAGATCGCTCGGGACACTAGCGCCGGTATGTTCCGTCATGGAGTGCCGAGCCGAGGTCGAATTACGGTGAAGGGCTATCATCCCGCAGTTCCGCACCACCACCTCCAGAGTCGGAACATGAAGGCGCTCTCTCAACTGTTCAGCTCTAAGTCAGTCACTTTCGATTTTTTTTTGCGCCGGGTCGGCAAAGCCTGCTGCAGGATATCCTGGTACGAGGAAGCTTTGAGATTGCCATGCTGTGCGCGCCTGAGGCGCAGCTTCAGGCGGGCCCGGCAGCAACTTTTTCTTCTTCGCTGCGAGTTGATATGGTTACACAGGTGGTCATGCCAGAGAGCAACATCCCGCTAGCAGCCGTCAAGGTGGAGAGTATTGACAGACGGCAGGCCAGGCGGGAGCGGGAGGAGAGGCAAAACGGTCACATCCTTCGTCAGAGGTGCACACATCACAGGGTGGCTGGTGTACGCTGGCTTTGCGGACTCTCGGCAGCTTGTGCACATGTTGCATTCTGACACCTCGGAACGGTGGTTCATGGCTACTGCACCCGAGGCCTGGGGAGCAGGCAAGGCATGGGAGAGTATGCCTTGTCGTACTCGTGATGGTGCGCTATCAGGTGGTCAAAGTCTTAAATGCCTATGCATCCTGAAGCTGGCTTTGTTGTGTTTCTAGCCACTGGGACCAGACAAAACTGCCACTGATAACTGTTGCCAGCGTTCCGGACAGACAGGACTACCTTTGTCCGGTGGGCAGTCGCATGGAAGCGGATCCGTTACGATGACGAAGCATGACCTCCAAGGTGAAGCTGTGCAGAGTTTCGAAGCATCTACCAAAGAATCTTCACGAGAACGACGAAGAAATCAGAAAGGGTAGTGGAACGAACTCCCAGAGCGACGTGGGGTGGTTCTTATGTGTTGTAGCGCGCGTCACTCCTCGATGCACGGAGGCTGCAAGTGTTGGTTTGGGCAGAGTGCGCTGCCACAGTAGGATTAGTTTATGAACTGGCTGTTTTCATGTCAACCCTTCTGGAAGAAGCTCCGCTTGCGGCACGATTTCCTCGGCACCTGGAGAGAGCAGTCGCCCGGAAGCAGTTGTGGCACTTGGCTCCAGGCAGCCTGCCAAAGGTGAAATTGTTTGACTGAGGTCAATAAACGTTTCGTCTTTGGCGCCATCTTTTCAGATTTCAATGGAGATGGAGCTTGCTGTCTGGATGACCCCGGTGACGTTGATGGGGCAGGCACAAGCCACCTCAAAGATCGTGTGGCGGCAAAAAGGTTTACAAGCCTCACCTGCTCAGGTGCAGGCTTGGGAGTATTGGATCGGAGGATGTGGGAAGAAGCCTCGCCAGGACGCAGTAATTCATTATAAAACTTGGAACGGCAGCTGGACAGAGCTGCCGGATTACCCCCTAGATGGCTGGCCCAACGAAACAAAGAGATCATAGGTCTAGACATGCAGCATGTCTGAATCGTGGGCATCGCAAATTGAGCTCTTAGCCTAATGCCAGATCAAACATCTGTTGTTTCTAAATTCTTCCGTCACATGATCTTGGCGAGCGTGATTGTCAACAAAAATGGCTCACTGGAAGGAAAATGCAGCATGCCTTGTTCTGAAAGTCCAGGGGGACAACAGAAGTACGGGCAGCATAGCTACCTCCTACTGTAGCTTAAATGCCTGAGCACAGTGACCTTTCGAGATTGCGAGGGAAAGAGAGCGAGACAGGACCCCCATGCCTCTAGGTCAGAAGAGAACAGAAAGCAGTGGGCTTGGTTCTCTGCAGAGATGCTCCCATGTAGTTCTTTTAGCAAGCGACGAAGTGCGTGGCCCAGAGCTCATGGTGCGAAGGCCCCTGCTTCTAGGAGCTGCAGGCGGCAATAGCATCTTATCGCAAGTAGTGCCGGGCCACCCCAGAGCCCCATCCTTTGTGCCTGAGCCGCTGGCTAGAGATTCTCTGCAGTCGCAAGATCTTGCAGGACGGCTCCGAACCGTTCTGCGGCAAGGTCCGGTTCAGCGGTCGGGAGCTCCTCGGCATCTGTGCAACACTCCCCGGTCGTGGTCGTGAACAAGTTGTCTTCTTGATGGCTCTGACACTCTAAGGTTGGATGTCGACAATGGCCCGGTGCTGACGTTTCGAGGGCTTTGCGGTTTGTCGCTGTGTTGTCGCGGGAACTGAGGTGCACTGCTCCTTCCTTCGGAGCCTGTTTGCGAGCTGCACGAGCCGAAGCTGCAGGACTCCCCCGGCACCGAAGAGGACCGTCCGCTGCTTACCCCGCAGAAATCTTTATGCTGACCCTGCTTTGAGTGAAGGATCCTCTGCTGGGTTTCGATCTAGAGCCACCGTTTGCAAGAATGGCACCGCGAACAAGCCAACGTCCGTGTTTTGGCTTTGCAGGCGTAGCATCAATGCTAGAGTCAACGCAGTTTGAAAGCAGTTTGTTCTTGTTTTTTGATTTTGGCTCACTTCCCGGCCTTCTAACTTCTCAGTTCCAGCTCATGCCAGCTGAAGTCAAAGACGGAACGCGTCTGGGTTGCTGCCATTGCTGTTCAACACGCGTTGGCGGTTAGAAATCAGGATACCAATAAGCAGTAGCCAAATCGTTCAAGACTTTCTAGATGGTGATACTCCGCTGGTATGATAATCAGGGACTGTTCACGCGTGGGCGGCCATCACCCCTCGACTGAAGCCTTTGCCCGGCCAAGCTTAGAAATAGTCGCACAAGAAGTGTGGAGGATTACAACAACATCAGTAGTTGTCAGCGCAGCAACAGCGCACCCCTGCACTTAATCAAGGAGGAGTCCACGAGGATATCTTTAAAATTCTCATCGTCCCAAGTCTTCGCTGGCAGGTATACGCAACAAACCTACATGCGTCAGTGTGCTTTTGTGAGGCCGAAGCTGGCCAAACCTACGGCAAGATAGCTCTGGCAGCGAGAAAACCTTTGCAATTGCTAGCTAAAGCATCCAAAGGTACGCAAGGTATTGGACTTCCGAAAGCAGAGCCGTAAGGTGAACACAGGCGAACAAGACATCCAGGTTGACTCCGACTGAAACAGCTGAGGCAGACATGGGATCCGCACCTTCTTGGTGTTCGGCCGGCTGCACCGTTTCCCGCAAAAGCCGGCGCAGCCTTGGTTGTGAAGGCATGTACGATCTGCTGCGGTCAGCCAGTGGTGGGGATCCAGATAGATGTTGATGAGCAAGCACAGTCTTTCACCGACCGGACGGGTGTCTGCATGTTGCGTGACGTCCGTGATTCTGAACCAGAGATGAAAGTTTTTGCAAGTCACGCTGCCTTTGAGAGCGGATGCTGCCAATTTACCGTCACTTCACTCCCTAAGTCGGTCGCGGAGCTACCGATTTTCCTTGAGCCGCTGGTTAGGCTGTTCACTGTGCCGGGCCCGAGAGGTCAGCTGGCTTTGCAGATTCTGGCGGGTGATGGTGACTCTGTATTGATTCCGGTCGATGCAGAACCCTTTGCTGGTACCATCCGCAACGGGCGTGGCGAAGACATGCTGTCATCAAACACAAGCAATCCAGAGGCAATTCCGCTATCACAAGTGAGAATCGCACCAGAAGTGGAGGAGTGTCCGATCTTTTGCTTGGCGAACTCCGCAGTGGAGTTGGGAGGGTATGAGTGGCTCCCTTCTAAAGCGCTTCGTGGCTGCAACTGCCAAGCAGAATTCTGCACCGTAATGTTCGGTGCTGCTGCTCTTTTCTTTGAGTTTTTGTGCCGGCTTTTGAGCTAGTGTGGCAGCCTTGGCAAGGTTCCCAGCGGCAGGCAGTTGCACGTATGAGGAGCTTTTACGGCTGCGCGAGCCACGCACACTAGGCCCAGAAGACGATTCAAAGACATCAGTCGTTGTTTGAGCCACTTGTAGCGAAGTTCTCAATGCTGAAGTCACGCGCATGCAGGACATCTTTGGCCTGTGGTGCATGTAAAAGACATTGACGACAAGACTCTCAACCTGGCCCTGGAAGATTGTGGTACCGTCGACGACGCCGCCGTGCTGTTGAGACAACGGCTCCACCTGAACCAGAGCATGAATCTGGCTTTGGCTGCCGAATCTCCTGTGCCGGAGACTTGTGTGGACAGATACACGTGCGGAGCATCGATTCTGAAAGGATCTGCTAAGTTGTTTTCTGGCCAGCAGCTAAAGATCATGGCGCGACTGCTCATCAACGTGACCTTCGGAAACACAAAACTTGGTGCTCCCAACGTGCAGGTAGCGCTTCGGGATTCAAACGAAGCTGCGACGTCCGACAGCTCGGGTGTTTGTGAGCTAGTTGTCCCCGCCGGGCGTCACCACGTGCGGATTGACCATGCCATGTCAAACGAAGGCAGCGACGAAATGGAAATCGAGGTCTCCGAAGTAGAAACACGCGTGGAAGTTTCGGTGCCGGCCTGTTTGTTTGTTTACTTACAAGCGCCGGACTCCGAGAAAGGAGCCAATGCTCCCACCAACGTGCCTGAGCTGTGACTGGGGGGGTAGCTTTTCATGTTGTCTTTTGTGGCCGTTGCTTCTGATGACGGGGTCCGCCCAAGGTGTGGCTGTGCGCTCACCAGGAACATCTGCCGCTGACAGCCTGGCCGGTCGCAGGAACGGTGCTACTGTCGGATCAGTCCGGCACATTGGAAGCTCCGCTTGACGGGGAGATGCTGAGGCGCGGGAGGGCGGAGGGCTGCTTCTGTCCGGAGGGTGTATGAATAGGCTGTAGCAACAGTTGCATCGCAGACCTGCCGAAACCAGAGTGCTGTCTGTGTCGAAAGTCGGCAAAGGAACAGAGAGCACCACAGGCAACACGGAGCATGGAGGCAGGGCCCAACAGATCGCGAGTGCAGGACAAAACTGGGGAATGAAATGAACACAGGGCCCCGAGTACCGGTTTAAGGACACGTATGCCCCGATCACGATACTGTGGAAAACTGTAGGTGCATTTCTGCAGCAGAGGAAATCAATAGCTAACGCATCGTGTATAATGGAGGAGGAAAAAACATGACACGCGGCATCATGCAGCTGGTAAGAGCTCGAAGCATTGGGGTGCCACGGATGCTTATGCTCATGGAGGCATTCAAGTGAGACTTGACAGTAACAGCGGTGACCACCTGCCCTGGTTTTTATGCAGAAAGCGAGGCCGATGCGAAAGACTCCTCCGGTTCATGTTTTCGGTTGAGATCCAACACCTCGGGTCTGGTATGTAAAACTTCCGCTCCGTCATGCGGTTCCTCATGCGAGGCACCAGTGTCATCTCCTGGCTTGAGGTCCGTTGAGCTGTCCAACGCACTCGAGGGCAAGCGCAAGCCTCTTACATTGAGCAGCTTGTCCGGCACTGGAATCAAAAGATGCTTGAATAGCTTGGCTTACATACCGACATGGGCTTCTCCAGAAGCCGCTTCCAAGATGATTGCGTGCCAAGCAAGCTTTCGCCTTTCTGCCGCCACACATAACCGGTCTCCGACAAGTCCAGGGAAAGGCCTAGGCGGACCACGAAATGCTCAGCACAGGAATCTTAGATCTCAAGCGAGGCTATTTCCTCCAATCACGGTGCGCGCTCACTTCTATAAGAAGACAAGTATCATGCAAGTGGCGGCCTTCGACTGCCGAACTGCTGGAAAGCTTTGCGAGGCTTGCGCGAGTGGACCTCTGACCTAAGAGTGCCTCCGAGTGCCTCCATGTTCTTTTGTCTTCAGGTAATGGCAAAGAGATTCCGGAAAGCCGCTAGCTCGTGCTCTGCTCGGAGAGTTATGGGCCATCCTTCTTCGAACATGTGGCCTTCTTGTGATTTTCCTGTGCTATGCCGGAGCCAAGCAACGCAGGTTGGGAGTCTTTTCTGATCAGAAGCGAATCAATGATGACAATGAGGTGCGAAAGGAGTTGGTTGTCACCCGGCCTATCGCAATGTGCACTGTTGTAGTCTAGTGAAGCCTTCTGTTGCGGCATGTTGTGTCCATCCCGATACGGACATTTCTTCCCCACTGTGAACACCCTTACGTCAGTCTTAATCACAGTACCATAACCATCAAGTGGCGCAGGTGCCAGCATGGACGAGCGTTGACGTAAGGGCCCGTTTTCTATCCGCTTGAAGTGAGCACCTGTGTCGACTGCTGTGGAGTGTGGAGCTGTCTTTCAGGTATGGGCTCTTACCCAAACTACGGTGCTGCTCCGAGCGCCTTGTTGCTAAGACCCCAGGTCCGGCCTCCGGCCTGTGGAAAGGGCCGCAGCTTGTCACAACCAAGGCTCGAGAGGCTTGAGCGGTGCAACAGTCTGCGCCTACTTCGACATGGAGCGAGACTGGCCGTTGACTGAGCTGCTCTCTCCAGATTCTAGACATGCTGGGAAGCAACTAGGATCAATGCAGGCACGGGGATGTCCAAAGATCAATGGATGCCAGCTACGTTCCAGGCATGGTGCACCCCCCTCCCCAAGAAAAGCAAACTTGTGGCCAGCATGTGGGTACCAAGATGTTCGCCAATCGGCAGATGCAGCTGCCAGTTGCGCAGGATCGCCTTGGGCAGAGGGGTCCACAGGCCTCGCAAGTTGGGAAGTCGTCGCTTGGATGGCCAAGCCTGCCCGTATGTCCTCGCATAACTGCAGGTGGAGATGGAAGGTGCGAGCTGATGGTTCCTGACGAAGTCCACCGGATTGAGGTTTGTCACCCCCTGCTGGGTCTGCCCCTAAGAAGCTCGCATGTTTCTTTTGCGATGAGCTTGGCTTAGCATCAGGTCGGCAAGAGATTGCGGTGGACCCGAGAGGCTCTTCTTTCTGTCGTAGAGGTTCTGTTTGACGGAACATGGAGCAAAGCACCGTCTCAGGTGCACAGGGGGAATCTGTACTGGAACACGCCTCAGCACAATTGCGCAAGCATCTTCGTTTCTAGCAGCCCCGCGTGTGCAATGCTGCCTACAGGAAATTTATGCAGACCCTCGTGTGCAAGTCTACTCAACGCCACTCGCAGATGAGGCCGTGATAGCACGAACTAACTAGCAACAGAATTGGCATGCTCTGGAGGCCGACGGGGGCATCGTAGCAAACACCGATGGTCAGGAAGCGGCTGTGACCTCAGCGGATCGCGCGGCGCTTGAACCTGCTTTGGGACTTCTTCAAGGTCTGGGTGTCGGTGACAGAGCCGCCTCCCGAAGCCAGGGTTTGACTCTAAGGTTGTGGAAGTGCTACCGGTCCGAGTTTCCCATAGCCGTAGATTTGCTTCGGCCTCCAGGGATCGGAGCTGCACGGCGCGCTCCTGGTTGACGGCATGGATGGAGCTCTTCGACTTCCGGATGCTTCACCGGCTAAGTTGCCCTGGCGCAACGCCAGAATGGGAGACCAATGTCCCTTGCAGAGGCTTCGAGTTGATGCCGGTGACTTGTCTGCCTGTCTGTCGGTTCTCACAGCATCTCACAGCATGTTCGATAAATATGATGCAGTCGTCGCCTGCACGGAAGGCACGTCGAAGCCTGGCCCGGTGCTGGCTTTCAGCAGAAGACTCTCCAAGGGGTCGAGCCGGTCAATGGCATGTGTGCTGGACAGCCTCGTGGCTGGCCCGGTGTGTGCTGCCCGGATGCAGTTTTGACGAAGTCTCTCGAAGCGGAGGACACGTGTGAATCTCCCATAGAAGCAATCTCTGTCGATACATTTCTCTTGTTTCCGTTGTGTTGTTCCCGTGCACTGCGCCATCACTTATCTTCTGCCATGTCTAGAATCTCTTGCTGCGGTGCTTGAGAAAGTTCCATCGACATGTCGTAATTTTAATTCTTTCAGATCTTGCGACTCGTGAAGGTTCTTCTTGAGCTTTGGAAGCCACTTTGCCAGCTCCACATGTGCTACACTCAAGACATGGATCTTTAATTCGAGCCTTTCCCGCGAGCACTCTGAACCGGGAGTGAGTTTCAAGAAGCCTCCTGCTTGGCCACATGACGTGCACATATTGTCAAGCCCAGTGTCTTCCACAGTCAATTTCATGTCATCCCCGCTCCTTGCGATTGGGTCGAGTTCTCCATTGAATTGTCAGGTTGGCGCTTTGCTGCCAGCTGTGTTGGTGCATATGCAAGCTGTCGGGGGACGGAAGGGCTGGCAGCAGTTGCCTGCTCCTTTAGCCGAATGTCCGACCACTCTGGCACTTCGCAAATGGTTGGGAAGCCGTTTTTCTCGCGATCTCGACGAGCCTTCGACAAATGAGCCCGACTTGTGGGACATGGGGGGATTGTGGTGATTGTTTTGCGTACGGCGGTGCTGAGGATGTGGGACTGTACAACTTGTCGAAGACGGGTGGACTTGGAACGGTTCTTGCCGACGATACGGTGCTGACTGCAGACCTGGAGCTGGCGGCAGCATTTCTATCTCCCCTGAATGTGCAGGCATGCCTGGCGAGTCCACAGAGAGACATTTCATTACAACCCTTTGCATGTTCAGGTTCTGCTGCCCGACACGCAAGAAGAGCAAGGCCTCAGTGGTGTCACTGTGGAAGTCGACGATACGAGCTACGGATCTACTGATGCGGAACCTCAGCGAATCATGGCAATCGGGTATCTGTCGGCATGGCAGTCCGCAAGCATTAGGATGGCTGCATCCAGTTGATGCTGCCTCATGGCAAGCGCTCTGCTTTCTTGCGGCTCCGTGCTCAGAACAAGCATGTCGAAGTCTCTGAACCTGCCCTGTTGAATTTTAAGCCGCGTGGCACCCTTGGCAGGCATCCAAGCTTCGGAGACGGAAGAAGTCACAATTTCATGATACCCAGCCAAGAGGACTGCTGCATTACATTTGCTGATGCAGGGTGCCGAGAGTGAGAAGCTGTCAGAATTCTGATGGGAAGATCTCTGACCTTGGTGGCAAGGTTCGATTGTACATCTTCGCGACAGATCCAGAGGCAGATGCAGATGACGAGGACTAACTGAGCATTCAGTGAGCAAAGCAGGTAGTGTGATACCGAATGGGAGGAGGCAGGATGCCAGCCATCCTTGGTTTGGATCTGTGCATCAGCAGAGACTCTGCTCAAAGTGAGTCCGCACTCAGCCATGCAGCATGCCTGACCCATCATCAACACCACTTTAGAATTCTGGACAGATCTCAGGAGCAGATTCCACCTGATGCTCTGGGAATCGCCGGAAGTGTGCAATGCTGTGTCGGCGAAAAGGAAGTCGGGCGGGAGTGGGTTACTACTCAGACGGCTCTGATCTGCCCATGATCAGGACATCTCTGCTTCTCTAAGTGCATCGCGGCCTACCGAATTCGTTGTGCTGTGTCTCGGCCGGGCATGGTCAAGAGCAACAGTTTCGTTTCGTTTTGTTGTCAGCCTGATCAGTGTGACGGTAGTTGTTGGATGTGCAGAAACCTTTATCGCTGGGAAGGGGCGGCGAAATTCCGGCTTGCAATGCCGCAGCTTACTGTCTGCCTACTCGGTGGCATCGACTTGGGGTCTTGCAGAGAAGCCCAAGATTTTTGTTATGAGAAACGTGCACGATTCAGTGTAGGAAAGAGTGCAAGATTTAAACCTCGGAAGATCCCGGTAGAGTAGGTTTTGCGCGATGTGTTGCAACTGGGCCTGACTGGATGCCAGGTGATTGATAAGAGCAAGTTGGACTTCCTGCTTTATCACCTCCTCGAAGAAGTTGTGATTATTAACGCATGTTTCTTTGTTGGTGTGTCTGTGAGTGTGCATGTTTAAAGGACTATTCAGGTCATCGCAGATGCTTCCGTACGATTCTGGAGAAGCTGATTTCCCTTTTGATCCAATCAGTGTCTGTCCCTCGCGGTCGGTCGCAGATGCCACGCCAGCAGGTGCAGAGTGTTTGGTCACTGTCCTTGTAGGTTGAGTCACCCCGTCTTCTAGGTCTGTGCATGGATACGGGTGACATTGGGGCGTTCAGAATTGTTGAGTTCCTTCCGAAGCTTGTACCCTATCTCTGCGTATGTTGCAGCAGGCGTCAGTGTGTCTAAGCCCTGTGCGCCCAGGTCCGGCGAGCAAGTCTCAAGACGTCCCGCCTGCAGCGTCTCGGCTTCGGCTTTGGCATTGCAGCTCCTGTCCACCCAACAAGTCAAAGATACCAGATTTCGCAGGCCTGGCAGACCTGCAAATTACGGCCTCACGCGCTGGATTCGAGTGGCAGCCGAAAGAGCCATCTCCCCTGGCTGAACGGCTCGAGGAATTCTCGCTGATCCATGAGTAACCAGTAGCCAGTGAAGTTCATGTCGGACACAGGAGCTTGGTGGTTCTGAATATCTACGCCTCTTGAACTGTCCGGTGGCCATGGGGTACCTGAAGCCAACTGCACTCGTGCGACTGGACAGTTGTTTGCGGGGAATGTGCGAGGTTTGGCTGACGTGAGGTAGCTGCTGTTAGCACAGCTTGGACTTTGTGCAGGATTCTAGTACCACGATCAGCATCTCTATTGTGGATAATCCCACGGTGGAAGCGCTGCGGGACGCTGGGCAGAGCTGGGTTTGTGCACGTCTGAAATTCGCATTAGCCGTTCAGAGACCTCCGTTTGCGCTCGCATCTGCGAAGGATGTGGTCGCCGAGAAGCTAGACTTACTTTCGGCGACATCGATACAGCTGCGACTGCTTCCACTTGCATCCGACGATTCTGAGCGAATTCTGGATGATGGTGAGGCTATCCGACCTGGTTGGATGATTCGTGCCCATCAGATGGTGCGGGTCCACGTTGCCGTCGCGACTTTGCTTCGCTTAGAGCTTGTAAGGGTGCTTCTGTCCTTTTGCTTCTTGGTTGGCTTCGGATTTGATTTGCTGGGCCTTGCATCTCCTTAGGTCACAGCTTGCTGTGGTGAGCCCTTGGGAGATGTGAGTGTGACGGCTGAGAGCGTCACCTGCCGCACGGACTCCTCCGGCACCTGCCAGCTGTGCCGTGCCCAGTCTTGCGTGTGTGACGGCGTGCGGCGTGTTGTTGCCTCGAAAACGAGTCCTATGAGTCTGACTGAAGTACACCAGCCTGAGGATGCTGCCCATTGGAGATTGCCGTGTGCATTTGCAGCATGCCTCGTTTGGCGAGATGAGGCAATTGCCGCTAAAGGCGGCGTCGTCAAAAGGGAGCTACTGTAGAGCTTGAATCGACTTGGGTCCTTTTGCAGGTCTCGAAAGTGGAGGACCGGAAGGACCGTGTCCCAGAGCTCGTCGCAGATCTGCGAGGGACCCAGACGAGCTACTGAGCTACGCACAAGGTGTGCTTCCGCATGAAGCCGCGCCTTTTCGTCTATGCGACTGATCCCGAAGAGCAGGAGGAAGAGGCTTCAGTTTATAGTGACGAAACGAGGGAAAGCAAGCGCTGCACTGGAAGGAAGATCCGGATTCGGTTGAAGATGTCGGGTGCGATGCTGCTGTTTGTCTGTGGTATGGCTTCGCGGCAGACTAAGCGCAAGCCAGGCCATCGTGGGATCCCAGCTGTGTTTGGTTGGCTGCAGACGAAGGCCTAGCGCTGGTATATTTTCTTTTCGCATGTTGAGATGTCTTTTGAAGCGCTGCTTTCGAGGGCAGATTCCAGAGGATGCGATTGGAATCGGCGGCAGCCAAGCCCTCGATTGAACCGAAGTTTTGCACCAACAAGCACGCACTAGGGTCTCGACTGCTGAATAAGTTTTTGCTGTTCTCCTTGTACTTTTTGGCCTCCAGCAAGCCCAGCTTTAACAAAGGTGCCACCTGCTCGTGGCCAAGTTCGGCCGTTAGGCTTCGAGCACACCTCCGTGTGAAACCGAGATGCCGTGATTGATTGATTGATTGATTGATCAGCTCGCCGCTAGCTTGGTGCACTGAGGGGCCGATCAGCTTTTAGGACTTGATCTTGGCCCGACTGGCCGCTGCCCCGACGCTTGCGCATGTTCAGGGCTACCTTGTCAGACGGTTGTTCGACTAGGCAATCTGTTGAGGCTGAGTTTTCCGCCGCACATTTGGTAGCCTTCCGGCCCTGGGAAATAGTCTGTCATTTGTTACTTTTACATTTACGCTGGGCGAGAGAGGTTGGGCAGACAAATCTGGGTCGTCGAAAGCTCGGACTGACGAGTTGCAAGTGCACACGGGCATTCTTGCCGTTCTGTTGGTCACCTCGCCGGATCTCGGTTTTGCAGCTGTTGCGGCTCTTTGCATGGAATTGACCAATGTAGAGCAGATTTTATCGCAATTTTGAGCCACTTGTCTATGCATTCGGCACCTTCTTCTGGACAGTCTGCTTCTGTGCTTCTTGAGGTGTGCCGTGGGCATCGCTCGTGCTTGATTTCTTTCCGTGATTGACAAGCTCAGGCATGGCCAGATTGCTCGATGCAGACGGCCAGGAAGCAACTGTTGGCAAGAGCCAGGCTGATTAGTCTTGCCGGGTCGAAAGTGTTCCACTCTATGCCATGCTCGACCAGGGATATTGGTTGGACAGCGACGATTTTGTGTCCACTGCGGACCTAGATGCCGAGCACCTTGGAAAGGCTTCTCGGCTGGACACAGCGCTACGTCTGCTGCCTGCCACGTCTGCTACATCCTGTTCCCGGACAGGTTGGATTTCCGAGGGATTGGCCCGGTGTTTATGGCTCCAGCAAGGCGCTGAAGCAATTAGTTGGCAAGAAGGGGAAGTGTGCAGGAAAGAAGGTCCCTTGGTTGCAAGCGAGGTTCCACAAAAGAGGCACTTGTAGTTCGGACGTGACTTCCATATCTTGACGAGCTACAAGGTTGGAGTGGTTCCAGGCCTGCCGTGACGGCAATCGTGGCTTTCGCCGTCCGATGCGACTTTGAAGCACATTCGGACGAAGCGTGCCAGGCCCTGATGCCTCGCAGCTGTCTATGGTAAAGGCAGACACGATAGTTGCTGTCCTTGCAAGTGACTCTGGCCACTCGTGCTCTGCACAACAGGGCCTGAAGTTTTATCCGCTTCAAAGCTTCTCGAACGCGGAACGTGCTGCCAAGGCCTGCTTCTTTTCCATGCTATTGGCTGATTGATTCCGCTTGGTGCAGGCCGCTGGCATGGATGTCGTCCGCGGTTGGGCAGTGTGGCAGTCCAAGCTTTTGGCATTGTCTTGGAAGGCATCCTGGCATTGCCTCCATCAAGGTACGAACATTTGGACAAAGGTGTCAGCGAGGCATTCGTGGCAGAGCGATTTTGGTGGAATTCTCTGCCCGTAGCTGCCTCAGGTCACGAGTGTGCATTGCATTCTTCTTGAGGGCTCCAGACTGAGGACGGAACATGGATAGACTTCACTCCGAGGCCGAGGGCTTCAGGGCCTAGTCAGCTCTGGATGGGCGTGCGTTTTGCGTGCCGCAGGCCTGACGTGCTGCCGGAGATTCTACTTGCTGAAGCAGTCGATGGAGCGCCCAAGGCCTGGCATGCGACTCCCGACAAAGGGCCCCGCAGTGCAGCTGTCGCAGGTCATGGATGTCTTGAGCAGCCGGCAGCATTCGCTCATGCTCAGTCTGCTTGCACAGCGTTTTCCAGGCAGGGTGCAACGGCGCAGCCGCAATTTCTCAGTGGCATTGCACTTTGAGGTCATGTAGTGGCATCCGAGAAACCAAAAGCAGCCTGTGCCCCATGGGGTTCATGAGTGGACAGCTTCCCACGCCGTCAGAGGATTTGCAAAGGGCACACCATGCGTCAGGACACCAAGACTGGAGCATCAGCTGCTTCCTCGACCAAGGCTGGGCTGCGGACTCTTGCCAAGCTGGGCCAGTCCAGCTTCCCATCGGCTCGTGTGCAGGTCACGACTAAAATTCAACAATCTGCCAAGGCCGCCGGTGTCGGCCGGACGCTTCTCCCTTTGTCTGGTCGCATCCGGAGAGGCTTCGCCGAAGCCAGCTGGCCCAGCGCCGGCATCGCTGCAAGAGCTCGCGAGGTGCAGCCGAGAAGTGCAGGCTGCACTGAAGTCACAGCCTCTGCTTGGCTCAGGCGGATCCAGTCCGGCGACCTGGAGGCTTTCAGCGTCCCAGGGAAGAAAAGGAGCTGAGCCTCGGACCTCAAAGTGGGCAGGCTGTGAAGCAGATGGAGGAGAAGCTGCGCGGTGAAGACGAGCCACGCACTCGCGAGTTTTCAAAGTTGTCTGCAGGGGATGCTCAAGCATGTCCGGTTGCCGTGTACACATATCACACGGACGGACTTGAAAACCGGGACCTGTTTTGACAACTAACGTGGTAATTATAGACTCCCCGTGAAGCTGACTAAAGTACTTGGGACAATGCGTGCGAATAACATAAGAAATCAGCATAAACGCAGTTATGAGGTGTTGCCTGGATGCTTTGGCCGACTTGTGGTGCAGACTTGCGCAGACCTACTCCTGTCGAATGTCCGACGGAAGGATATCCCGGTGCCGTGAGCATAAAGCGATGCTGCTGAAGCTATCTTCAGCCCCCATATTCGTACACTGGCGTCTGGCTTGCAGCGAGTGCATG